CTGTAGTGATACTGCCTCGAAAACCCAAGGAGGGGTCTCTATGAGTCTGGTCTGACTCCACAGCACATAATAACCACAATAACACACTTTTTATTATGAATACAAATGTTATAATGATACATTGGTATTTATAGCTAATGAGAATCTCCTAGTGCTACACAGAAACTCATTGCAAGCCTTTTAGGTTCTGTAAAATAGTTTTAGAAGCATTTTGCACAGAGGTATAAGCATTGTGTAATGAGAAGGGCTCTCCTTGAGAGTCAGAAAAGTATAGAAGGAGTTGTTTTGGATATTTATCATTTGAAGACCTAGAACTTAAGCATTTTATCATGCAGATTTTATGACACTGACTTTAAGTAAAAGAGAGGCAAAGTCAAGAATACTGTGACAAATGGATTTTAGTCTCCAGGTATCTAAGTGCACATACCACGGGTGAATCACAAAAGGAAGTGCGAACCAAAACTATGTCCTGAGGTCACCTTTTAGAGAAAGAACAGGTTGGCATACAAAGTAAAGGCTATTACCTGTTAGTATGGCATGACATGCCATTAAAAAAAAAAAAAAAAAATCTATATGAGACCAAAAGGTCAACATTTACTGTAAAACAAACAGGAAAATGTAAAGGGGCAAGGAAACTAGAGTACCGGGAATGGAACAACCAAAACACAATTAAAGAGAATATTGACACATTGTGAAAAATGTAACTGATGCCACTGAAAAATTTGTGTAGAAATTTTCAAATGGAAGCCTAATTTGCTGTGTAAACTTTTACCGAAAACACAATAAAATATTATTTTAAAAAATAAGTACAAAATAGTGATTGTGAAACGTGAAAAAGGGGACCAGAGGAGTTTACTTCTGTTGGAGGCACTGAACCCTTAGGATGCTGGGAGCAGGTGACAGGATCCTGCACATCTTCCCAGGAACACATCAGAGTGGAGGGTCCTTAGAAGACACTCAGTCTCATCTTGCTTTTATAGAGGAGGCTTTGAGCTCAGAGCAGTTATTTCTGTGATCACATTCAATTAGTGCTAAGATTGGAACATAGATCTCTTACTTCTCTCAGGCCACGGATATCTGTTTGCAAACCATAGCCACCAAAGTTTCTAAATATAGGACTGCACTAACTGTATTTGAAATTTTGTTCAAACAATTACCAAATCACTGAACAATATGCTTAGAAAAAGATCAAAACACCAAGTATTGTGTGTGTAACGTTTAAAATTAGTGTTGGTAGTTCGAACAGCTCCACAGACGAAAGACTCGGTCATCTACTCCCATAAAGGGTAATGGAAAATACTAAGAGGCAGTTCTATTCTGTCACATGGAGTCACTATGAGTCAAAATCAACTTGATGGCACCCAACGATGACAACAGTGTCTCGTTGAGCACAAAAACGTGAAATCAGTTCTGTCCTACAGAAGTTTGATATAGCTCTGAAATTGGCAGTTATTTCTTTAAAATAATATTGTAGCGATTATTTTTATTAATGACATCTCCCATTTTAAAACACCATTTATAAGAGCTATATATATTTATTAATATATTTATCAAAAACCATTGAATTTTCTTATTTTCCCCATGTGAAAAGTTATATTAGGCATTAGCAATCCAAAACCAATTAAGTTCTAATCTCTGTTTTCAGAAATACCCAGCCTGAGGTGGGAGAAAAAAACATAGAGGTGACTAATTACAGTATATTCTAAGCAGTTCTTGGGCATGTTATTCCTTTTACTAATTTGGCATTGATTATAAAAGTATAATGCCAATTTTTCATTGCACTTTTCCCCATTTCGTTTTCAGTGTTCTAAGGGACTTATTATTATTATTATCCTCTTAAAATCTGTACCTTCTTTAGTATTCTCTATTTAATGGTTTTACTGTCTAATTGTTCATCCAGGTTAGAAACTTATGATCCATCCAACTCTCTGACTTTACATTTCACATTGTTTTTTCCAAGTCTTACCAATTCTGCTTCCTTAAACCTGATCACCACCCCTCTATTTCTGTGGCCATATCTTTGCCATCCTTAATCCTGCCATCTCTGTCCTGGACTGTTTCATAGGTACCCTAATTGGTCCCCTACCTCCATTCTGGCCTCTCCATCCACTTTCCACATTGTACCTAGAATATTTATTTTTCTCCTAATATTCAAAGTGTGTTTACTTCTCTGTTTGTAACCTTTCTAAGCTCTAACACTATCATCAAGTCAATTCTGACTCCTGGCATCCACCATTAGATTTCCAAGGTGGTCAATCCTTACAAAAGTAGATTGCTTCATTTTCCTTCCTCATAGCAGCTGGAGGTTTTAAACTGCCAATCTCCTGGTTAGCAATCAAATGCCTTACACACTGCACCAGAACTCCTTTTTCTAAGCTCTAAAAACAGAAACCAAATTCACTGCCATTGAGTTGGATCCAGCACAAGTGAGCCCGCCTTGGGTTTCTGAGGCGATATCACTGTGGAAGTAGATTGCCAAATCTTCCTTCTGAGCAGTGGCTAGTGGGTTTGAACCACCAGCCTTCTGGTTAGCAGTCAGATGCCTCTGTTGTTGTTGTTGTTATGTGCCCTCGAGTTGGACCTGACGCATAGCAACCCCTCCTTGGGTTTCCGAGGCCGTATCACTACAGAAGTAGATTGCCCAACCTTCCTTCCGAGGAGTGGCTGGTGGGTTTGAACCACCAGCCTTCTTTTTAGCAGTCAAGGGCCTTAGGCACTATGCTACCAGAGCTCCTCTAGTAACAGCTAAATCTCTTAGCATGGCATACATAATGCTCCTTCATGATTTGGCCCATTCCTAATTCTCAGCCTTACCTCTGGCCACCTTAACCCCTGTGCTTTCTAATAGTGCTACATCTGTTGCCCTGAAAGAGCAAAGAGTTCTGTCTCAGGCCTCTGTCTCTATTCATACTATTCCTTCTGCCTAACTCTGCCCTTCCTGAGTTTCTGAAACCAGCCACACCATCCTGAGGTGCGGTCTTCTGCAGCCTCTGCACTCTCACAAGGCACTGTAATTGCCTGTGATTTTCCTCTGTCTACCCCCTTGCACCTCTACCACCCCACATGCATGACTGGGAACACTCCAGGAACACGATGTCCTGCTCGTGTCTGCATGCACAGTGACTGCTACAGAATAGGCTCTCAGAGCACATTTATGACACATCATTTGACAATTGTTAAAAAATTAATACTTTATCAGAGAAGCCTAGTGATTTTGTTCAAACACACAGAGAAGCTCTACCAACACATTTTAATAATAATAATAGTAGATATAATCTTTTTATCCAATCAGTTAATTGTGGGACCTTGTCTTAGTCTGGGTTCTCTAGAGAAGCAAAACTAATGAAACATGTATAAATATATATGGAGAGAAATTTACTTCAGGGAAATGGTTCATGCAGTTTGGGGGGCTGGTAAATCCCAAATCTGGGGTCAGGCAACAGGCTGAAAACATCTGTTGTCTCACATGGTTGCAGGAGCTAATGAACCCAAAATCTGCAGGGCAGGGGGCAGGCTGAAGTCCTCTTCTGGCTCACCGGGTTGTGGAGGCTGGCGAGTCCAAAATCTGCAAGTCAGGCTACAGGCCAGAGACTTCTGCAGGCTTATGTCCTGAGAACTAGAGGTCAGATGATGAGAAGAGTTCAGAGTCAAGAAAGAGAGAGGGAGCTTTGTCAGAAAATCCATTTATATATTGGAGATAGAACCATACCCCAAGGAAACTTCCCTTCAACTGACTGGCTGCTCACATCAGGTCACAAAAATGGAAAGTGGTTACATAGTGTCTGCCAAACCACTGAGAATCATAGACTACTCAAGTTGGCACATAACATTAACCATCACAAACCTGTTGATTTCCCCAAAACAGGACCTGGGTTTTGGAGCATGTTTTTGGATATGCTCTTCATAAACTTTATATTGTATCATTCTTTATGTGGCTTTCATGCAAAGGCCTTCCAGGACCTTGGCTTCCTAGTAGCTACCGTTTTAATGTAGTGCTATCCCATAAGTAAGCCAAATCTTTAGCAAGTTTTTGAAAGCTGCTTTTCACAGAAACTGTTGGTTCATGTTGTCAGCATTGGCTGTGCTTCCAGATCTGAGAGGGGCCAGAAAGCCTATCCCACCACAGGAACAAAGCAGAAGTCACAGAGTTTTTCAGATAAAACATTATTAATTGTGAGCATGTCTGTGTCAGTGTTTTTATTCTAACCATTTCCCAGTAGGGCATCACACTGTGACAAGAAAGCCTTGCTTCTGAAATAAAGCCATCTCCATGGCACACGAGAACACGTGTGGTCATCTTCTGTGGCTTGCTGCTGGGGACACACATTCCTAGAGTGTTACGTTTTAGTGCAATGTGGTGAAGATCTTTTGCCTCCACTGGCAGTACAGTCACTGGTTATTCACTGGGTCTCGAGGAGTGTTTGGTTGCTCAGATTGCATTTTCAGAATAAACCTTTGAAAAATGCCTTCCCAGTTCCCTTCCTAGAAAAGAGCTGAAAACAGTAATTCAGCTTGACAGTCTTTTGTTGTCCATAAATACATTTTTACACACTGATAATTACAGGAGACAGCTGCTTTATTTATCCAAACAGCTTTGTGAAATTGCTGATAATAAAATATGCTTGGCACACGCCTGGATTGATTACTCTTAAACTCTAGGCCTCTCCCTCCAGTGACTGTGTTGCCAGGGTTAGATGAGGGTCTAATTGTCCAGCCTAAAGAAAAAGGGTGTTCTCACGTTTCTGAGAAGCACCACAGTTGCTTCAAAAGACATATGATAATCTCTGATGAATTATTGAAGCTATGTTTTCTTTTTGATTAGGGAAGAGAAAACATAGCCTTATTTTAAAAGCTGACTCTATTTTTTTCACATCTTAGGCTTTGGGGATCTGATTTGTTTCTGAATTATTCAGAAATCTAACTTTGCAGTTCAAGTCATTTCACAAATGTAAGAAGGCATGGGATTTGAAGTAAATGCAGCAAAAGCAAACTGACTAAATAATTAAGAATTGTATGAATATGTAGGGAGCTCTGGTGGCATAGTGACTAATGCATTTGACTGCTAGCCAGAAGGCTGGCGGTTCAAACCCACTAGCCACTCCTCAAAAGGAAGATCGGGCAATTTACTTCTGTAGAGATACAACCTCAGAAACCCAAGGAGGTTTCGTTGTTGAAACAGGTTACTAGATTTTAATTCATAATGCTGTAGGCACTTTACAAATAGGCAAACTAAACCTCAGTTCTGATTTATTTCAACAGAATGTATACTGAAATGGACACCATGTCAACAGCAAGTCAGCATCAGACGGTGGTAGGAGATGCCATTTCAGAAACTCCACATGTTCTGTCAAAAGAAGATTTTCTGAAATTGATGCTTCCTGACAGCCCCTTAGTGGAGGAGGGGAGAAGAAAGGTTAGCTACTTCTGTAGGCCTTGTGGAATTACCAGAAACACCAAAATAAATAAAAAGAAGTCTAAAACATCCTGAGATTTTACAGGATATTTTCATATGCATTATCTCTCTTGACCCTTATACCAACTCTGTGGGACTGGCATAGTTGATAATTTTTAAATTTTATTTATAGGTAAGAAGCAGATGGAGCAAGTCTCCAATCCAGATTCCAGTGATTATTAGCTTTGGTACTTTATGCAAGTTACTTTACCTTTCTACCTCAGTTGTCCTCATCTAAAAGGTTGAGATACTATATTACAGAGATACAGTGAAGAAAATAACAACAATAATAATAATAAAATATGTGAAGAACCTAGTGCAGGACCTGTGCATAATTGGTGATTGATAAATAACAACTATAAAAAGTATTCTAAGATGGGGTGATCTATTTTCGTTAGTGATACTGCCTCAGAAACCCGAGGAGGGGTTGTATGAGTCGGGTGGACTAAAGAGCACCTAACAACAACAACAAAGTAACTCATTGTAGTAACACTTCAATTCAGGCCACCTGCTTTTTGATCCAGAACACTGTCCTCTGCTGCAGGCCACCCTTCCTTAGATGTAAATCTTATTCCAAAAGTACACTTGAGTGAATATGATTCTGCCTCTGGGACATTTAATAGTGATGGAGCATGCACTGTGCTGTATGGAGTATGCAGAGACCACAGTGAAGGCCATGCATGAAGTATATAAGGCAGTTTCATGTCCATTGTCATGCCTCCTTCTGCTATATTGTAGTTATAGTACTAACTGTACTATAATGTTATAATACTAACTGTAGTTATTACTTTTAGTTTCTTTATTACTGGATCTTTAAACCACTTGGTTAAATAATGGAAAATATTAAAAACAACTTTACAGGTTATTTAGCCCACTTTCCTCTTTTTGTTAGTAACTGAGTCCTCAAATAGTAAAATGTTAACTCACAAATATATGATGACTGCAGGAGGAGTGGAATCCAGATATTCCCACTTGTTCAAATGAAAAGAAAAAATTAAAGTAAAAATCAGGCATTGCTACATTGACTGTGATCAGGGTAAAAGCAAATCTTTGTGCTTTTGTCTTCCATATAATAAAACAATGCTGCAGTTTACCTAATTGTGTTCTTATAATAACACTCAAATTAGATATTACCTCAAAGCCACTTTAATATTTGTGCTTATAATCATGTTCTAAAGGGCTGCTAGTCATGTGTGAAGAGGGAATACCATAAGAACTTAATGAGTCTTCTTTTTAAACATGTATCAAATCATGTACATGGCACTGTATCAACTTGGATGTAAAGGCAGACTTGTAGAAAAAGTACAAATGGCTTTTCTGTTAATAAGAATGAACTTCTCTTTGGCATGTGTTTTATTTTCTACAAGAATCACCTTATTTTCATGGTGTAAATTTAACTTTGCAGTTCACATGCATTTGAGTACCATTCATCAGTTGGAAAGCCTTGGCAGAATGGAAAGAACACATACAATAGACATATTTTTAGCCTTCTTGCTGCATTAACAGATGTAAACAGCCATTTCTATATTTGTTTGATGTGAACATTTGGCTTTTTCTATTATTTATTTAAAAGAAACTTGGTTCAGTATGCAGAGGAAATAGTTGAAAATTTAAATTTGATATAATTTTTCTTGAGTTTTTGACAACTTGCTTCTCCGATAAGAATTATCTTAATACTCTTATTTAACATGCAATATTTTAATAGTTCCTTTAAATCTGGTAATGATCAATTACTCTAACTCACTTTTCAACCATTGTAATACAGAGTTTTTAAAATGATCATTTTAAGTGGACAATTAAGATTTTATTGGTCTGATACCATTTTCTTGAACTTATTTTATGTGTCCTAGAAAGCTGCAGTGTTCAAAATTAGTTTTATTATTATTTAGATTGAACCTCATATCCCCTTGATTGGTGCAAAAATTGACTAGTATTAAAATATGGTCATTTCAAATTAAAATCAAGCCAGCACTATGTGACTAACTGTTGCCTGAAATGGCGATCTTATTTCCTGGAGCTATCACTGCTATAGGGGGTTCGCTATGAGTCGGGGCCAACTCGACGGCACATAACAACAACAACAACAAAATCACTGCTATAAGGTTGTGGAGGTTCCATTTAGCATTTCAGAATTCATAAGGCTGTTCATGTCTAATTCATGACAGTATTTCACAGACTGTTAACGGAGGAAACATTAAAGTCTAGTCACTGCACGGAAGCCCATTGCATTTGCCTCAAAGCACTCACGTGCCTGATTCCACATTTCTAAGCTATTGCTTTATGCTTGCCCTGGGGAAAAATGCAAAGGAAGTATTACAATAGTATGAGAACTGACTGTATTTAATACAATAAATCCCATGCTTTTTGGTGTTTTAACTTATATTTTCCTTGTGTTTAAACACGACTAGTTTTCATTTTATGGGAACCTGTCCCCAAGAAGGTCACTGTACCGTACACTCTCTGACGAGAGCATCTGCAGTAATCGGAGAGGGTCCTCCTTCGGTAGTTCTCGAAGTTCCATACTTGACCAAGCGCTGCCCAACGACATTCTCTTCAGCACAACTCCGCCCTACCACAGCACACTGCCTCCCCGGACCCAGCCTGTAACCAGCATGGGGAGCCTAAGAAGTAAGTAAGCCTACACTGTTCCCAGGGCAGGTTGCCAATGTGTGGGTTGAACTAAATAGCCACTGTGCCTTAATGGCTTATTCAGATTTCACGTCTTGAAGTAAGGTTTTATGTTTTTCAGTAATTTTCAAATATGATAAAGCCTCAGAATAAACAAGTTAAGCAGTACCCTACACGTTTTGAGGAAAACAGAAAAACTCATATTAAGCATTTTCATAAAATTAAATGTTCACTTCTAAATCATATCTTCATTTATTATATCTAAAAGAAAAATGTCTAAGTCTCTATTTTGAAAAAAGAAAACTGGATAAAGGATAGATTTTCTAGTGTGTAGCAGGCAAGGAGCAAAATTTGGCTTTGTACCTTTGCATTCCTGTATATTCTTGAAATTAAATACATGGTGCTGGGCAAAGTGGTGGACAAGAATCAGTAGACCTGGGTCTTAGACCCAGTTTACCCTGGGGCGGGGGAACTTTATGTCCTTGTACATGTCACTTAAGTTTTCTGTATCCCAATTCCTTAATTTTTTTCTTCAAATCCTAAAAATCTATGATTTTCACACACTGAGAGTTCCTTATTAAAACTCTCAGTTTTTATTGGTCATTTTAAACTTGTTAGATTTAATCTCTTTTCGTCAAAGGTATTGCTGCTGTATAGGAAAAATAGATATATAACAAGATATATATTCATTATCAAGTTTATTTTTTTATTTCATCGTAGAAAGAATTGTCTTCAGAACTGATTTGAACTTTATAAAACACATAGAAATCTCATACTAAATGAAATAGTAGTCTAATAATGTTTCTAATGTTTAACATAATTGGAAATGAATCTTGTCTTGGAAAATTCTAAATCTATTTCTTTAAGTAACATAATATCCTGCCTTTTATAATGGGTCCATTTACTGAAACTGAAGAAACCTTTCAACTCTTTCTTGATAACCAAATGAAAGGTTAGACAGACATATAATACCTCAATAATTTTCCAAGTATTTTTGCTTTTTTGTAAATAGGTAACTTTAACATCCTCTTAAAGACTTGTAAAGCCATTAAAACTATTTCTAAATGTTATTTATTTCATTTAAAACACTTGAAGTGTGATTGTGAGATTTCAAAGTATATTTGTTAATGCAGATCTTAACATTCCATGTGAAATGTGGCTTCCATATGAAAGATGTATACTGTTTTTTAATGTATTAAAAATATGCACAGTTAGGACACAGCAGAATGTACTCTTTATCCACAGATTGGACTAAAACCTGCACTACTTATCTTCATTGTGTAATTCTCTAGGGAAGGTAGTAAAAGTGACGCTTGCCATATGCTCTTCTCTAATGAAACCTTGATATTTGGTGATGTGTTTCCTCTAATTTCTGTACTTAAGGAACTACTCAAAAAATTCTACAAGTTTGATGGATGAGATGGCAAAATGTAAATAAGGGAACTGGGAGTAATTTGTATTGATGCTTATTCCCCTCAACTTGCTTCTGATTCCCACTGTCCTGCCAGGGAACGTTTGCACTTTAAGGAGAATTGTCATTTGTAGGACTGTAGTTCCTGGGGCCTGATGACTACCACAGTCACCTCTGTGATTACTACTTTTGTATCTACTCAAGACCGATTTCCCTAATTCTTGGCTACCTATTGTTTCTGGTCAATCAGCACATCTTCTCTAAGAAAATAAGACTCTTTGAAAGTCATTTGACAGACTGAAACAGGAACAACCAGAAAGCTGAAATGTGAACACTAATGTCAAATAAATGTCTTTGAGTGAGAAATAAGGAATATTTGAAGTTCCCCAGTTGGATCTGTCCTGGAAGAAGTGCAGCTGGAATGCTCCTTGGAAGCAAGAATGGCCAGACTTCTTGTCACCTACTTTGGTCATGTTGTAAGAAGGGATCATTCCCTGGAGAAGGATATCATGCTTGGTAAAGTGGAGGGTCAATGAAAAAGGGGAAAGGGCCTCAACAGGATGGATTGACAAAGTGGCTACACCAATGGGCTCAGGTACAGCAAGGATCGTGGGGCTGGCACAGGACCAGGCACTGTTTCATTCTGCTGTACATAGGGTTGCTATGAGTCAGAGATGACTTGATGGCACCTGGCAACAGCAACAAGCTGGATAACTGAGTTTCTCAGAGAGACATAGCTTTATATTTAAACTGGGAGTAGAAGGTAGTTCTTTCAAATCTTCTAGCATTGGTTGGTTAAATTTGCTATGTAGAGCTAGGCAAAAAAAAGAAGACATCCAGATTTTTCTTTTAAAATTTAAAACTAGAGGATTCCTGGAAAGCATCTGATCATCTAAGAGAGAACTTTCACCAGTAAAGAGATACTTATTCAGATCTTGTTTATAATTTGGAGTTGGGATAATGAAGGGGCAAGGGCCAGCATATTCATCTCTTCACAGTAAATACTGTGGCAGAGTAATCCCTGTACCTTTTTTACATAGAATTGCAGTCACAGGCTTGTCTTTCAGATATTTTAGCTTGTAAAAGCCTCCTTCAGCATATTTCTTTACTTGAGACCAAGATGTTAATCCAGCCTTGCGAGACAGATACTTAACAAACATGTTTGGATTTGAGTCATGGCATGATTCATAGATATTTCCTGTGAAGTCACTGAAATGTGCTGTATCATTATATTTTCAGCTTGGAGATGTAAAAATGTGATGTGATCCACAAATTGAAAATAGTTCTGAAATGTTGTTTGTGCATTTCATTTAGGATATTTGTCTGCTTCCATCATTGATGGATTTCAGAATAAAATTTCTTTAGTGGCCCACCTAGTAAAAACATGTGGGCAAGAGAGCATTCACAAAATTCATAGACCAGATCATAGGTGATACTGAAAAAAATCCATGGTATCCTTTTCCTCCCTGGGAATGTAGGTACCTGGGTTTATTCAGTACAGTTCAAGCATTGGGAGGGTCACAACATATATAAAGATAGGTCCTAATTATTTTTTTTTTAATTGAATTGTGATGAAAATTTCCAAGGAATGTTAGAAATCTTCCTATGAAGATAGATTAAAGAGAAAGAGTTGTTTCAAAAAATATAGTATTATGTGTGTTCCCAAACCTATTGTTCTGAACTAAGCAACTCACAAAAGGTGCCCCTTGAAATTTAAAAAAAAAAAAAAAATGTTTTAGAATAAATAACTGGAATTTGTGTTTTACTTATAATTTAGTACTCAGAAATGCTACAGACCAAAGGTGTACTCAGTTAGTGGTCAGGGCTCCTGGAGGAGAGCAGCAGGGTCTGTAAGGGACACCCTCCTAGGTAAGGCTGACATTGGCAGAAGTTATCATGGCCTTCTCTCAAACACCATCCAAGGCAGAGTTGTGGCTGATTCAGCATGGTGCATCTTCTTTTTTCAGAAGTTTTTAGACTCCCTTGTAATAAAAAGCCATTGATTTCTGGAGAGTGACTGTAAAACCTGATATCTGACCACCAGGAAAAGTTGTCAGGAAGCTACCTCAGCATTTATAATGTTAACAATAAAGTCAGACTCAATAAAGATGGTTACTGTGATTTCAAGTCTTGGTAAACAAACAGGAAGCCACAGATCAATGTCTCCAGCCAGAGAGCAGCGTGCCCAGGCAGCAGTGCTTCAACATTAATCATCTTTCAGAATCTGTCGGTCTCTTAATTGACCAAAGTTAAATCCACATGTGACTTGATGAAAAGGAACGGTGAGCCAAGAGAAGAAAAGCAGTCCCCCGAGGTGATTAGAGCAGCTTCTCCCCAACTTGTGCAGTAGAAATGTGTTTCAATGGACAGTGTCCTCTCTTCTCAGCCTGTTTCATAACACATTCTCAGAACTCCCAGAAAGTTTATGGAGATAAACAATTGTAATTAGTATTCTTTCCTACTCACCAAGTATTTCATTTTTGACCTAAGTGATAGTATATGCATTGCTGGTTTACGTTTCTAGTCTGCAGCGCACCAGAGAATGGTCATGTTCTCTAAGGAGGTCTCCGTACTCCATGTGGGTGAGCCTGTGACACACACACCCATCCCACCCCACTGAGTGTGCACCGCTGCATTCCCACCCTGCCTGGGAAGCTATCTACTTCACCAACTCAAAGGGACTCTTTCTTTTCTGACTTGACCAATACAGTAATGCAGTCTCCTGATGTAACACAAGGCTTGGGAGGTCTGGCTTTCAAATAAGAGGCATTGGTAGTTGAGAAGGGATCACTCACTCACTTATCTGTGTCTACCCAGCATGTATCCAAACCCTATCAAGCCACCCAAACCAAACCAAACTCACTGCCATCGAGTTGGTTCCTGCTAATAGCAACCCCTTCTTAGATTTCTGAGGTGGTATCTCTACAGAAGTAGATTGCCCAGTCTTCCTTCTGAAGAGTGGCTGGTGGGTTTGAACCGCCAGCCTTCTGGTTAGCAGTCAAATGCCTTAGGCACTGTGCCACCAGAGCTCCCATCAGCAACAATATTTATCTCCTTGTGTCCTGGACTCTTTTGGGACAGAACCTATATGTTATTATTAAATCCCTAGGTTCTAATGTAGTACCTAGAATATAGTAGGTGCTCAATAAACATAATCTAGATGAACAGGAAACAGCAGTGGCATCTAAATATTAACTTGAAATTATTATAAAGACTTTTTGGTGGGTTGGAATCACAGGAAAAAAGAAAAAAAGATAGTCCTTTTTCCCATTTATATCATTTGCCAACCTATGGTAGAGAGAGGTGATGATATTTTATAATAAATCAAAAAATATTCATAAACTGTACTCCCTCTTTTTGGTCCCTGGTTCTCCATAGAAATTAGAAGAGGTTAGAGGTGTGCTTTGGGTTGTGAAATGTAGCTCCTGAGACCTTCACAGATCCCAAAGTCATCAAAGCTTTGTTAGCATGTGGCCTTTGCAGAAGGTGTGCACAGGGTGTGAGCAGAGAGAGCATAGGTAGAGGAACTGTGGACAGCTGGGCACACTCACTAGCTGACCTGCTGTGAGCTTCCATCCTCCCAGCCTCCAAGATGAAAATTAAAGCCTCGGCAAAATTACAAATGGCCACATGTCATGGAACTTAAGGGCTGCTCAGGAAGAGTCAGAACTCTAATTGAGAGACTGCTATACTCAGTTGACTATTTGGGATGTACACATCTTTGAGCACACAACAGCAATAGGATTAAGGATCAGGGGGAGTAAGAGACATGGTAGCACCCCATTTATCACCTTCATTATTGCATTTTTCCCCTCCATTTTTTAAATTCTCTGGCTCTTGTTAGAGCCAATGAAGATGTTGTCCTTTCATGACATTAGGGAAGAAAGCAGACAGCACCCAGAATGGGTATTAAGCTGGATTTTACCTTTAAGAATGTGAGAAGCTCAAGTTAAGGATTATTTCTTTACAAAGCAAGTAAGATCCTTAAATTGATATTCCATAATAAAACATGACTAATATAATATTGTTGAGAAAAGGTATTTACAATTAATAAGTCGTTGGTCTTGCCAAATTCCATCATGTGATCTCCAGCATCATTTCTATCACCAAGGCTGTGTTTTCCAACTACCGATGCTGCATCTTTGTTTCCAACTTTTGCGTTCTAATCACCAGTAATGCTGGACAATGAATAAGGAAGAACAAAAAAGAGTTGATGCCTTTGAATTACAGAGTTGGCAAAGTATACTGAAAATACCATGGACTGCCAGAAGAACAAACAAATCTGTCCTGGAGGAAGTGTACCCGGAATGCTCCTTGGAAGCAAGAGTGGCCAGACTTTGTCTCGTTTACTTTGGTCATGTTGTCAGAAGGGATCATTCCCTGGAGAAAAATACCACGCTTGGTAAAGTAGAGGGTCAGTGAAAAAGGAGAAGAACTTCAACGAGACGGATTGACAGTGGCTGCAACGATGGGCTCAAGCATAGAAGGATTGTGAGGATGACACAGTACTGGGCAGTTTTCATTCTGTTGTGCATAGGGTCACTACAAGTCAGAGCTGACTTGATGGCACCTAACAGCAACGACAATAGAATGTACTTTTGGTGGAGATATTCTTTTACCTGAATAATCCCCCCTCTTTGAAGCCTTCTCTGTCCAATGAGGTGAACTGGGGAGTGCTTAAGTCAACACCAGACATCAGTCATCATGGCCTCTGTGCAGACTTCATGGAACTCTGACACTTTTCCCTCTGTTCTCTGAAGAGCTCAGGCACATAGAAATTGGCAAAAGAATTTCCACCTAGTTCAATAATTCCTTTATAGATTGTGCAGAGAACTTGCTTTATGCAATGCAGCATATCTGTTAGAAATAAGTGATTCGTAAATGATTAATGATCTGTGGGCTCATGATCTTTCAGTTTGATGTGTGTATCTTAAATGCCTTTGGATAAAGACCTAGGATCAGGTTCAGCCTGGGCTCCCCGTGTTTGTTGCATTTCCACTGGAGGTTGTGGGGAGAGGAGGGAAGAGAGTGCATGCTAGCTCTTCTCTCCTTCCCAGCTCCCTCTCCAGCAACGCTACTTTTACTCAATTCTTGTTTACCCCTTGGCTAGGACAGTCTGTCACACTTAGAGTGATCTGCTAGGGGCAGAAACACTTGTTATTTTAGAGAAGAAAGGGAAAAGGGAGGACAGCAGGGATTATGCTGAGAAGATATTAGCTACTGATGTTCCTTTTAGAATGGAGGTTGGTGGAATAAGTTGGGGTTAAACACACAACTAAACATGGTCATCTTAAAAAAAAAAGAATGATTTGATTGGCTTAGTTGTAACTATCAGAGATCTGCTAAGAGCTACATCTGAAAGGTGTCAAGACAGTGAGAGATTGTTAGTCCATTACAAGGCCAAATCTATAAACACTCTCCATCTCAGTCCAGATGCCAGCATTTCACAGCTATCAAAAAGTATGTGAGTACAAAAATTACAGGTGCATTTGGTTAATTATGTCCCTTATTTAACTTGATTGCAGACTCAGACAACCAGGTGGTCATTATTTTGATTGGTCTAATTAGTCAGATGTGTTCACAATCAGCTGCATACAGTATTTGTACAGGTTCAGAAAATGCAAGGTAAAAGAAAGTCAATGGAAACCTCTTGAAAACGAATACCCAAATACATAATGAATTCTTAACAACTAGTGCTATTAATGATGAACACACTTACCAGACTGTGATGAAAGTTTAAAGAGAAAAAGGTCCATTTGTACAGCCAAACTTCAAATTATTTTTACAATAGAAGCTAGCTTTGCATGTTTAGAAAAAGGGGAAAGTGACTTTCTGAAGAAAAACAGTTATACACAAATGCAAACACAAACGCAAACACAATCACTGCCGTGGAATCGGATCCGACTCAAAGCAACCCCTCCTTGGGTTTCCGAGGTGGTATCACTATGGAACTAGTGGCCAACCTTCCTTCCGAGGAGTGGCTGGTGGATTTGAACTGCCAGCCTTCTAGTTGGCTGTCAATTGCCTTAGGCACTATGCTACCAGAGCTCCTTTAACTAGTTATAGAGCCATCTAATTAAGACAAATAAGTGTTACAATCACCTTTTTTGTGCATAGCATATAACATATTGTTCTCTGTTTCTTGTCTGTTGAAATTAATCTTAATACACGTGGAAGGAAGGTTGGGCAATCTACTTCCATAATGATACTGCCTCGGCAACCCAAGGAGGGGTCTCTATGAGTCAGGTCTGACTCGATGGCACATAACAACAACAAAGATGTTGATACTGTGGATTGTAGCATACGAATTTGTGGAGTTCAGGTTAGATAACTTTGTCAGAAAGTTTTTCAGATGATCAGGATAGTAAGAAATTGCTTCAAATTATTTTTACAATAGAAGCTAGCTTTGCTTGTTTAGAAAAAGGGGAAAGTGACTTTCTGAAGAAAAACAGTTTGTCTTGCAATTAGTCAAACGTGGGTATATTCAAGAGGAGACTGTTCTGGTAGCAAACTTCCTGTGAAATCTAGATTCTGTACAAATCCTACTCTTCCTCTACCCCAGTGCTTTACTTGCTGGTTAGTCTCTATGTGAGTCTATAGTTTGCTGCTTTTTTTTTAAGCATCAATTTTTTTGACATTTTTGGTAATCATAGCTCAGTGTCTCCTAAGTTGGAGCAGGAGATATTTTAAAACAAGATCCCTCAGCTCTTTTGTGAGAGGACAATACAGTGTTATTTGGTATTTGTGATGTAACCGATGCTTTGTTTTTGTTTAGATGAGTTCTGGTTCTCTGATGGGTCCCTATCGGATAAGTCCAAGTGCGCAGACCCTGGCCTGATGCCCCTCCCAGACACGGCTACAGGGTTAGATTGGTCCCACCTCGTGGATGCTGCACGGGCATTTGAAGGTAAAAACTGACCAGCCCAACACAAGACACTCACTTATACCCTCTGGAGCATATTTCTGCAGTGCACATGGGGGCAGCTTGGGAGCAAATACGTCCAGGGTCCTTTGGGGTAAAGTTTGGGATGATTTTCCCATCTTTGAGGATGAAAACAAGCAGGAGAAGGCTTGAGCTGTAACTAAAGATGTTCCTTTAGGGAGACCATGTAATTTAGTAAAAGAGCACTAGGCAAGGAATCACAAAACCAGAATGCTAGCTCAGGTACCAGCTATGACCTTGGGGAAGTCATTTTTCCTCTATGGACATCTGTGTTCTTACCTGAAAAGTAGAGGTGATTATATGGGACCTAAATCTTTCCTCTCAATGGTAATGAGGTAAGATAGGAGAGAAGAAGCCCTTAAGTGGATTGAAGGGCACTGGACTAGCAATCTGGAGGCTTGAATTATACAGAGAGTACTTCTAAGCTAAAGTTAGAGTATATTTTGTAGTTGACAAATTCAGACAAAGTAGAAAGATGCATGACAAAGAAGTTCCAGCTAGCCAGTGCCTCAGGTATATTACTACCTAAATTAAATCAAAAGAATTTGTGCTTATATTTGCCAGGGGGGAGAGGATTTTGGTTATCTGACCTTTATGAAATTTCCAAACTTCACACTTATTGGGGGGAAAAAAAAGATCTAGGAAGAATTAATGTTACATTTAAGAATTTCAGTAATTTTTGATGTTACTCTTTCAAGTAGCATGATATCTTGAAACAGTAGTCACTTTATGAAAATTCAGTTGAGAATTTACAATTCCAGGCATATGGCTAATCAAATTATCTGTATCAGTGTCACTTTGGGTTAAATCACCCAGTAGCCAGCTTCACTCTGACTTGAGTTAATATGCTGGAACAGGGTATATGATTAGTTGCCATAGTACTTTAAAGAGAAATGTGTTGTGCTCGCTTCGGCAGCACATATACTAAAATTGGAACGATACAGAGAAGATTAGCATGGCCCCTGCGCAAGGATGACACGCAAATTCATGAAGCGTTCCATATTTTTGCATCCATATTGGTAAGGAAGAAGTCAAACTATCCCTATTTGCTGATGATATGATCCTATACCTAGAAAACCCAAGAGATTC